CTCGCTTGCCTTCTACTTACCTTCACCTGGACCATGACCGAGCGTCGCAGAGAGTTCCACGGCCACCCAAACGTCCCCTCTCCAACTAGACACCAGCTTCTCTCAAGAGTCTTTCATAAATATTGGGTCTTTTGCGTCATGGCCTTGTCAACGCCTCCCCAGCACATCTGCCTCAGATTTGAGATCGTAGGCCCGATTCAAATTCCACAGGGGGCTGGCTCTTTAGCACACATTGTTTATTCGGAACGAACAAGCCCCTGGCCGGCGAAGTAAAATCCGGAATTCTATGTGTCTCCCTCTAACTTGACGTGTCCCAGCACTCGAATCCGACGTGTCATGACCCCAGATCAGGTCAACGGCTCATCCTCTCACACTTGCTCTCCACAATCCTCAATTGCTCGAATTTTAGAAAAAGGAAATCAATGCAGTATGCAAGAGGGAACGACTACCAACATATTATACTTATTTACATACCGGTGTACATTCACCACGCAAGGAGACACACCCAACTGGGGATTTGACTACGGGGAGTGCAGCTTCGTGAATGAGGGAGTGATTATTCAAGGGCGCGGAAACGAAGACATACCAGATATAATAAAGGTGCAGGCGGGGAATGAGTTACGGAGATATTCACACTCAAGATGCGCACAGCGGCGTGTGTGATACAGTCAAAGGTTCACGACGCTGTGCGGTGTGCGCGCCCGGCGGTGTTAGGCGGTATCACGAAACCTCGGGAAAAGAGTCAGGGAGAAGCAGGCGGGTGGATACGCACCTTATTCATATGTATCCACCTACCCTCCTTCCCCGAGATAGTCATATTCGACACGAATTCAGGGCCCGGCCCGGCTATGGCCAAATATTCGAGCCAGGAGATCTGTAAAGGTTTGTGAGTACAACGAACGCGCAGATTAACCCGACCCAACACCTGAAACTTGTGCTCAGCTTGTCCTCGTCCCCGTTGCACCCTTGCGCACTGCTCTTCCTTCGACACCCCCGCACATGACCAGCGAAACCAAAGTAAACCAAGAAGCGTGCTGGTGGAGGCAGTAACCGAGAGGTCGAGCGCGAGGAGGCGCACATCGTATTGTGTGTCCGAATCTGTCCTCCACCTCTTCGAACTTACGCGTTTTGCTTGTTCCTCGCAGCGCGAGGCCTCAGTAACACGAACGGCAGTCCCAAGCGGTGGGTGGGGAAATGTGGGACAGAGATGCTCCTACTTCGCGTCGGAAGCGGTATAGAAGCGACACAGATCCAGCGGTATAGTGTCTGGCATGACTCCGCTGTCGAGCCTCATTCCACTCCACAGCAGTTTTCTTCAGCCTCTTTCTCGAGACACCGAAACCTGCTAGTTGACAGGAGATCGTTGAACCGGGAGGTTTTCGAATGGTTTGTCTAAGAAGGGTGAAGGGGTAAGAGCGGAAGAGCGAAATTGGAGCGAAAGCACGCGGCCTGTTTGTACGTATGCGTGTCAACGATGGACGTCAATCAGACGGATCATGGATTTGATCATTTCGGCTGATTTAACCAACGAAAACCAGAGTTCGGCATAGAAAAACAACCCCCGTACCACCAAAAATCCCCCAAATCCATTCAGAGGAAGCCAGATGGCGCCGCAAAGTGGCAGGATCAAAAGTTGTGAGTCGTTTGTTTCAGAGGCTGACTGTCATCAATTTTGCAAACGGCTGTAATCTTAGTGATCCGAAGGGCTATGCCCGCTAAAATAAACAATGCATAAACAAACTTTCTCTGTCGCAATAATGTCCGACTACGACGCGTCCGGCGCGTCTGCCGCGCCACAAGAGCCGCCAAGCCTTTCGCTTGCACAGACAACGCTGTTCAGCTGGCTCCTTTCCGTCCTCAAGCGCGACATCGTCCTCGTACAACCCGGCAATGTGCCCACTGGAGCAGAGCAGGCCCCTCTCGTCCTTCCTTATGGATATCCAGCCGCGGGGAGCAATGCAAAAGCACCCGTGTGCATCAGCAATAGATTCAATAATGCTAGGAGGAACGACTCGCTGAGTCGGAAGTCGCGCGGGGCCTGCTAGATGTTGCGAGAGAAGATTGAGAGGGAGCGGGGACAGGCGGGGAAGATTCGGGGCCGTATCTGAAGTGGAAGGGGTTGTGGGTCGGATTCGAGCACTGCGTGGGCGTCAGAGTGGTCCCCGCGAGTGGCGAGATGCGAAAAACCCACCTGACATAGATAGGTGTGGCGCAAGCCCGCTTTTCGTGAGATGAGGCACAAGCCAGTTATTGCAGCTTGGGCAAATCATTCCAGGGGGAGGAGCCATTTTGAGGGTGGGGTGTCGCAGTTGAAAGACAATACGAGATAACTGAGGGAGGAAGGTGGATAAGGAGCCGCGTTGTTTGTTAGCAACCAACAAATCAATCTAATTGATTGTCCGCTTTTGGGATGCCGCGATGCCGCCGGTGAGCACCGCCTCCCGGGATCCGGTATTCTCAGCTCCCAAATTTTGTGCAAAAATGGCTAAACCGGGCCGTGCCTTCTCAAACTCGATCGAAACTATCTGCAAAAAAATGCTTCCGATGGCGTTACGGAACCGGAACCTCAGAGATCTCGAACGGTTAATTAACCTGACTTGGCGGTTGCGATTCATAAAGTCAACACTACTTGGGGCTATCGGTTGCTTCCCATGAATTTGACTCCACACAAAGCCAATTGGTGCCTGGTGTACTTACTATGGATCACTTCGCACATCAAAATGTCTTAAATGTTCAAAATGCAGTCGGTCTCGTTCAATTCTAAGCCAAATTCCTTTCGAAATATCGCAAATTAAGCCGAAACATGTATAGTTGTAGAATATGAAAAAAATATTGAGAGGTTTCTGTGCAGTATTGGGCGAGATAGTGCCCCGAGTCCATCAGACCACTGATCCAAAATCAAATCGACTTGGACTCGATGTCCCACCAACGAAATTTCTTGCAGCGTAATATAGGCACTCTAGCACCACTTACTTTCAAACGACGACCACTGGCTGTTCTCTCGATTCTCTAACGCTTCAACAACACTGGCTCTTATTGGGATGGTTCTGCAGCTCTCTTAATTCAGTCTTTGGACTACTCTTGGTCCTGTGTCAAAGCAATTTGCAAACCAAATGTGAACGTGTCGAATGCATTATGGTAGGATGCATCCACAAAGGGACAGGGTACAATCATAACTAAATGAAACATTTATAGAAAAAGAAGAGCATTTAAGGATAGCTAGCAAAGCAACAGAAAACATTGTGAACACCAATTCAAGCACTTCAAGTTGCGGACGGACTACACGCTACCGGCAATGTGAGTCTACGAACTTGCCCTTCAAATTCGAGCTCACATTTCCGACTCGGGGAGAGCACTGATAGCTGCAGGACTCGGAGCAAGGCGACGACGAACCCTGAACGCACGCTCTTGCACATGACCTTTTCAGCCGAAATTATGTCATTGTCAGGAAAATAAATTTTCATTGAGGCAGCTCACGCGTCGGCGGGAGAGTAATCGCGTCGATGACCTCGCGCTTTTCCTGGGAGCTCTTCTTTAATTGATACTGATGTTCCCCCTCCATAATGCGCTGAACACAATTATTTTACGGGTGAACCATCAATTTTGTGACCCCACTCACCAATACCGATGTATTGATTCCTTCCACCTTCTTAGTGCACTCATTAATCCTTTCCATTATCTTCAGGCTCCATTTTGCGAGACCGCTTGCATCCAGCAGTTGAATCCGGATGTTGGATGTGGATATTTCAACACTGTGAAACACAAATTTATATTGATGGCGGCGACGGAGCGTAGCTGAACGTACTGAATCAAGCAATCTGCCATGTCCATCAACTCCAGATAATCCCTTGAGCAGTTCTCCGCACGGGTCAAGATATCCTTGGCGGCTTTAATCGCGTCCTCGAGCCGAGCGAGCCTGCACGATGGGCTGTAGAGATCGACCGCATACGCCGTCAACGTCGTCAATACGAGGGCCAAGATAATATAGCGAAGGGTGTTGCCCAGTACGGGAGATATCAACCACAATATCATGGACACGGATAATGTGTGGTGCATGTCAGGCTGGGTCCAGAAGTAGCGGGGGTTGCTCGGAATTCTGAGTAGCAGCTCAGACACATCCTTTTGTACTGTTTCATTTTGGGGGGGCGGCCATAGAGCATCCTGTCTCTTGGCGTCGATCAAAAAGTGCGATCACGCGTCGGTTGTGGTCGGTATAAAAGTATAACTTACTAATTAGTAACAGCTTTCCGCCCGCACACAGCCTCTTCCTCTTCCAGAAAACTGATAAAAAAAAAGATTGCGGTGTCCTACCTACATGTTGGGAAAATGTCTACACAGTACAGATGAGTTGTGTGCTCCTTGAACAGCAATTAAACACATACAAGCTCGACTGTGAGATACTAATTAGTATTGTCGCGTTGTGGTTTGAGGGCCGCCCGCGATCGACATACCCATCAATTGATCACTTCGACTCTTAATCACCCTCAGATGCCTTGCTTTCTTCCATTCAGCTTCGTCTCTCCGCGAAGAAGAAACACCATTTAACCGTACCCCTCAGAAATTCAAGCGACGTCGTAGTTCCCGTCGGGATTTAAAGGTTATGTTTAGCGCAGCGAGATCAGTTGCGAAGGGTCCCAGACATGTCTGCTCAAGGGCGGCGACCGCAAATGTCTGGACTGATTTTGACTCAGTCAAAATCAGTTGGCCCCTCACGCCCTCACGTATGTCGGCTCGCGTGCGTTTAATTGGAGTCTGATGAACAGATGACTGTCCAGAGTAAGTAGACACAGCACGGGTTGGTAAGTATATCAAACTGTACCCGTCAACTCTTGAATCTTTTCGGCACAGAAACTGACAATTGATCGTAGACAAACAGCCGACAATACCACTACGCCCGCACCCAAATAAGGCAAGAAATTATCAAGATGAATCGCGATAAGTTGGCCCGTTTGAAGGTCTATCCTATCACCTGAAGGCCTACCAGGCTCACGAACTCGTGCGGTTGGATGGCCGAGCGGTCTCAGGACCAGCTTCTTCGCTGGAGCGTAACTTGCGGACTTCATTGTCAGTAATCTGGTCCGAAAGGGCATGGGTTCGAATCCCATTCCAATCATTAATCATACATGTGCATTCATGACGCTTTTTCGCTGCGGTTGGCCTTGACTTTCCTGTTAGAGTTCGAGTAACTGCGATATATTTTTGTTATCTCACGGCTCGCATCAACTGCGTCTGTTTTCGTGCAACCGACCACTCGGTTGCGCTTGATGATTTCTTAGTGTCGGGGTGGAGTAGATTAGACGGTGACCTTGCGCACCTCGTATACAAATGTAGGAAGAACTCATTTTTTTTTTTTTGCGTTTCGAGAGCCCACTTTAGTTGTTGCCCGAGTCTTTGTCTTTGTCTTTAGCCTGGCTGATCGGTAAGTGGTGGCACGTACGTTGGTGCGTCCCTGGGCAGCCCGGGCGAGCAGGTGCCCGGTTCCTCATGATCATGTTGCGTTTCAGCGCTGTTTGTTGCAGAACAGAGTTGAACCGTGGGAAACTGATGTGTAGTAGTGCAGCCGCTGCTTGTGCGAGTCAAAACCTCGGTGGGGTACATCGCTGGCCCTCTGGCCCTTATTCGTGCGCTCGCCTATCGGGGGGCGGTACGCGGGTCTGCCGCGCCTGGGAGTGCCGCAACTGGTACGCACCTCGCCCAGTGGCTCGCGATGCGCGGGCCCCACTTTGTGCTCGGCCATCCGCAGGTGTGGATTTGAATACCATTCCAATCATGGGATGTAAATTCCGTCCTTTCGTACTGTTGATATGCTCAACCACCCATTCAGTTGTATTTGATGCTTCCTCAGTGTAGGGTGAACTTGCCTCGTGGACTATGTATGAACAACTTGCAGACTTGAGTCGACACCCGAGAATAGCATAGCATTCAATAAGGTTAGGCATGGGGTTGAACTGTGGGAAACATGATTGATTATAATGAAGCGGTGCATTGTATTTACGTGTGTTGGCATCGGGCTTTCTGCGATGGAGTTCAAGGGCGGAGGCAAGCAGTCGCGGTTTTCAACGCTCAAGGTGTTCAAGTTTGGGAAGAATGCGAGTCAGGCCCCGCCGCTGCCCCCGCCAAAGGACCCGGTCTACTTGGCTGCCAACCGCTCGCTGGCCTCGCTGTCCCCCGACTCGCTCCCCGCCTCCCCGCTCTCCGCCGACCAGTATGCCGCCAGCAGCAGCTCGGCCCTCTCCCTCACTCTCCCCCTGCAGAAGCAGCGCTCGGGGCTGTTCAAGAGCAAGAGCAGGAAGAAGCCAGCCAGTCCGACACCCCCGCCGATGGACGACGAGGACGAGAACATCGGCATGCCCTTCAACTTCCAGCACAACGTGCATGTCGACGAGGGCTTCACCGGCATGCCCCCGTCCTGGAACACCTCGCTCCAAGAGGCGGGCTTCTCCGAGGACGAGATTGCCGCCATCCAGCAGCGCCGCATGCCCATGCCCCCGGCTCTAGTCAAGCCTGCCCCCCGTACCACCTCGCTGCCCAAGAACCAGCAGCTCGAGTCCCGATCCACCTACGAGCCTTCCGTGGCTCCATCATCGACCTACTCGTCACCCAATCCTGGCTACCGCGACTACAAGCCGCCGTCTCCCAAGAGCCCCCCGCCCGTGTACAACTACGAGCAGCCCTTGCCGCTCAACATCCCACGCGGGCAGCCATCCGCCGCGTATACGGGCTTCGCAAACTCACAGCAGTCGCATTCACGCGCAGCGTCCCAACAATCGTCCTCCTCTTCGCATTCCAACTCCTACAGCTCCCACTCCCACTCCCACTCGGAAGAAGAAGAACAATCCCACTCCTCCCCCCAACTCCCCTCCGCCGCACCGAAACTCAACGCCAAGAACCTCACGTTGGACCTCGCGCCCCTCGGCGACGCCGCCACCGACAGCACCTGGTCCGAGGGCGTGCTGTCCGCCTCGCCGTGGTCCGCCAGCGCCTCGCAGACCGAGCACACCGCGCTGAACGGGCGCAAGGAGCCGGAGAAGGAGACCCCGGTCGGCGCCTCGTTCCTCCCGAGCCTCAGCCCGCCGCCCTCCGCCACGAGCCCGCTCTTCACGCTCACCGGCCCGCGCGGCGAGCGCGGGCGCAGCCCCACGTTCGCGGACGCGATGCTCGCGAACGGCGCGCGCGCAGACGAGGCCGAGGCGGAGTACTCGCCGACGACGGCGTACTACGGCCTCGCGTCGCCCGCGTCGCTCGGCGACGGGCGGACGCCCACGTCGGGGAGCAGCGGTGGGAGCAGGGGCAGCGCGGGCAGCGACGGCGGGCTGGCGTACGACGACGAGCGCGACGACGAGATCTTCGGGATCGTGCGCAGCCCCGCGCCCGCGCCCCCTGCGCCCGGCGTGGTGTCGCCGTCGAGCGCGGGCAGCGGGGCGAGCACGGGCGTGGGGAGCACGTTTGGGAGCCCGAACGCGTCGTATGCGACGTATGGCGACCGGCTCGGCGTCGCGAATGGTGGTGGGAGCAACCGGGACAGCGACTCGACGATGCTGGGGGTGCCGCCGAGTGCGGGGGTGGTGAGGCATGTGAGCAGTGTGGCGCGGAGGGCGGTGGCGGAGGTGGTTGCTGGTGAGTTGCTTTTCGTTTTGGTTTCGCTTTTCTAGACATTGGTTTTCTCTTCTGTTCGCTTGTCCCTTCCATAAAGTCACCACTCGATGGTCTTTCTTTCTATTTTCTTTTGCACTCCTCATTCCGTCTGGATTTGGGCTTGTGGCTGCTTGTGGACTTGCTTCGCACTCTTTTTCCCCCTTTCCCCTTTTCCATTCCTCTACACACCGAGTTTACACCAACTAACGCATCCCCAGCGAAACCCACCTTCCCCGCCCCACCCCTCCCCTCCTCCTCCAACAACGCAAACAACGCAAACGCAAACGCAACCTCACGCGCCATCCCCCCCGCCTCGCCCCAATCCTCGCACTTTGGCTCCTCGGGCTCCGGCTCGGTCGAGGAGGACTCGCACTCGGGGGAGAGCAGCGAGAACCAGATGTACGCGTCGTACCGGTACGACGACGACGACGACGATCGGGAGGACGGCGACGGCGGGGGGAGGAGATATAGAGAGGGGTATGGGGGGGAGCCGGAGACGCCGAGGACGGAGGTTAATGAGGATGGTGCGTTTTTTGTTGTTTTGGCTTCAAGTGTGCTCTTACTGCACGAGCGCGATGCTGACGTGCCACCCCACCCACAGACGCGGACATCAACGTGGCGGTCGCGGCGCCGCCCGCCGAGCCCGGCGCGCGCACGCCGCTCGACTATTACCTCGAGGGGAAGAGCTACCTCGAGGAGAACGGGTACTCGCTCGGCGGCGCGGGACACCACAAGCGGGGGGAGTCCAAGACGAAGCCCGCGGCGGTGGCGGTGGCGGTGGCGGGGGGGAAGGGGAAGGAGTACGAGCGGCTGGTGGCGCGGAGTGGGGCGGGGTCGCGGGCGGGGCAGGACGGGGAGTCGCGGTCGGGGTCAAGGACGGGGCAGAATGGCGATTCGAGGTCGGGGTCGCGGGCGGGGCAGAATGGCGATTCGAGGTCGGGGTCAAGGACGGGGCAGAACGAATACGATCGCGCGGGGTCGGCTGGGTCTCGGCGGCAGGAGGAGGCCTACCCAGAAGAGGGGGAGGAGGAAGACGAGGAGGAGATGAGGCGGCGGGAGTGGGAGGCGATGCAGCGCGGGGAGGATGTGCGGAAGAAGGAGCGGCTGCAGCAGGCGCAGACGCAGGGGCAGCACGTCAGACAGCTGAGCGTGCCCGTGCCCGTGCAGGCGCTGCAGATAAAGCAGCAGACACGCACGCAGACGCCGCCGCAGCCGCCACCGCAGCGCACGCCGCCGATGCCGCCGAAAGCGGAACCCCGCACGCCGGACGCGCGCGCGCGGCTCATGAACAGCGCCACGGACACGTTTGGCGGCGAGGTCGGCGCGGACGAGGAGGAGGAGGAGGAGGACTACGAGTATGGGTACGACTTTCAGGACGAGGATCCCGAGGCGGAGTATGTCCCCGGCGCAGTGGAGAGTCCGGGCGTGGTGGGCGGGTATGGGAGTGCGTTTGGGAGCCCCCACGCGGGCGTGTTTCCGCAGAGAGGGCAGGAGGGGAACGGGTATGGGTATGGCGAGGAGGAGGAGGAGGAGGAAGAGGACGAGGAGGGCACGCTGGGGCCCAAGGCGCGCGCGGTGCTCAGTCTGCTCAACGCCAACGCCAGCGCCGAGGCGGCGGGTGCAGGCGCGGGTGCGGGCGCCGGCCTGGTGATCAGCACCACGCGGACTGCAACGCTCTCGCCCGGCCCGCTCACCGCCCTCGGGATGGCGCAGACCCCCATCACGCCCGCGCAGCGGTACGCCGGCTGGGTCGCCGCCGCCGTCGCGCCGCTCGAGGAATTCATCGACGAGCCCGCGGACCCGCGCGACTTTTACGACGACCTGCGCGAGATCGCCGAGGGGGAGAGCGGGAGCGTGTTCGCTGCGACTCTGCTCCCCGACGCGCCGCTGCACAAGCTCCGGCTGCCGCCGCTCGTCAAGGCGCGCGATGCGGACGACGTGAGCAAGGGGCGGGACGTGCTGGTGGCGATCAAGTGCGTGACGCTGGTGCCCGGGGAGAATACCAAGGTTGCGGATCTGAGGAGGGAGTGTGGGTTGTTGAAGGGGTTGTGGTGCGAGCAGGTGTTGGGGCTGGATGCGCTGTATGTGGATCTTGTCGAAGATTCGCTGTGGATTCGCATGGAGCTCATGGAACGGAGTCTGGCGGATGTTGTTGGTCTAGTGGAGGAGGGCCTGAGGCTGCAGGAGCCGCGCATTATTGCGCGGTTTGCGAGCGACGTGCGTCCGCTTTCTTTTTCCATCCATCTATTTTTTCATGCGACTGATTTTGTGGTTAGATGCTCCACGCGCTCGACTACCTCCAAAAACATCACATCGCGCACCGCGACCTGCGCTCCGACAACCTCCTCCTCAACCGCGAGGGCGTTCTCAAGCTCACCGACTTTTCCAACGCCGTCGTCGTCACACCCGACACACCGCTCAGCACAGAGCCCGTCGGCGTCATGTTCTGGCAGGCGCCCGAGGTGCGCTCCGGCGCGT